CGCCGCCCGGTCCCCGCCGCGGCGACCCGCCAACGGCCCTCGTCCCCGCGTCCCGCCGGGTTCCGGGTCCCCGGCCCCCCTCGGTTGCTTCGTTGCTCTGGGTCGTCAGCTTGCACGGCGGGTTCCCCTCGGAACCGTTCGCCGCGCTTTGTCGCTCGGGCGCCGCGTGTCAGCTCCCGGCCCGGAAGGCGCTTCTCTGTCGCGGCCGGCTGGTGGCGGGACTCGAGGCGGTCAGCAGCTGCGCGCCTCCACGTTACGGATTAATGTTGGGACGTGGCATGAAAACTTTTGGAGAAGTAAATGAGAAGTTACCGAGTGATGCTAGGCAGACGTTCGCGTTGTGTTTTTCTTTGCTTATCGTAGAAACGACCTGAGTGTTATACCTGTTTTTACACAAATCTCCGGATACGTCGTTTAGCCATCTGTGACTAGGGAGAGAGGTGGAGTCGGGTCATGCATTCGAGGAGTAATGAATGCAGTGAAGTATCTGGAGAAAACAGGGAATTTTAAGAAACCAGCAGTCTCCAAATTTTGTCCTGTATCATTTTTTTTTTTTTAAACCGAAAGAATGATTCACCTCTCTCTTTTTTTCCTTTTTGGAAACCAGATGTAATTAATATTTAAATTCATCTGTTAGCATGATTGATTGGGTTTAAGAATTTTTCACTTGATAGTGAACATTAGCAGACTTGGGCACAAATTACACAATACAAGTGAGGGCCAGAAATGGGATAATGGAAGGAGTATCTGTTAAAATTAACTAAGACCTTGCTGATCAACTATTCCATTGTCCATGTTTTACAGGTGGAGGGGCTTTAAAGCAGAAGTGACTAGAGCAAGGCCCAACGGCTGCTTTGTAGCTAATGGGGATGAGGACATGGGTCTAATTTCCAGGCCAGTCCTTTTCCTTAAGTTTCAGGCATCTCAGATAAAGCGGATTCCTTCACTGGTTGGCAGTAATCAGGAAAACCTAGAAAGGCACCTTGTTCAAAATTTTCAGTTTTAAAGCGGTTTCTCACTGTTGTTAAGGGCTACATGTTTGTGGGAGGTGTTAGGCTACTTGGAGGCTGTGTAAGGTGCGGTTTTTGTGTCTGAGTTTACATAGTAGTTGAACAAATGAGACAGTCGAAAGGTAGAGGGCTCCAGTGGGAGCCCAAAGAAGTTTCTGTCACTAACTGATGTGGAGCTCAGTGAAAATTACATTTTCTCAGCGAGTGTCCTAGTGCCAATGGACATCACTTACAAAGTTTAGAATTTTAAATTTTCCGTGATATCTCATGCGTTTCTCTTCTCCCTCCAGATTACAGGGCCTGATAATAAAGGAATTTATAAAGGAGACCGGGAGTCCAGTGGGAAATACACATTTGCTGCTCACATGGATGGAACATATAAGTTTTGTTTTAGCAATAGGATGTCCACCATGACTCCAAAGATAGTGATGTTCACCATTGACATTGGGGAAGCCCCGAAAGGACAGGACATGGAGACAGAAGGTGAGATGAACATTCAGAAAGTTTATATTACTTTCCAAGAGTTAATATTAATTCTGTACATTTTTATCTATCTGAATGCGGTATTTATTTTGATTTCTTATTCTGGGTTCACTCACTGTCTTTAAAATTAAAAATTTCTTGTGAAAAATGTTTTTTATCCAGATCCCCTAATTAACAAAGTTTCTGGAAGTTCATGTTTATATTTTACTTCTTTATAATTATCTCTTCTGACAGTTTAGGCACTTCGTGCTCTTGTAAGCATGTAGATTACATGCCTCTTAGGTTATTTGTTCTGTTAATTTGCAAATCCTGGTATATGCATCTTTATTGCTCATTTGTATACATGACGAGTTTAGCTAAACTTTTTGTTTTTATTTTGTGCGTGTGTTTAAATCTTAAACTTTCCTTCAGGTGGTGGAGATACCTGGGATGGTATGTGGATTGATTTTCGACAGCATCTTTTTGCATATTTCTGTTTGCTGTTACCTAATTTCTGCTTTCCTTTTTTTCTAATCTGTTTGTTAGCATGAGAGTGTTTTATGTCTTAATTTTAAAAAACAACCCTACAACTAATTCGAGTTTTAGAGTGATTGTTTTTTGGTGGTTTTTGTTTAGTTGACTGGAGGTACAAGTTGGGTCATTTTAAATTAATAGCACTAGGAACACAGCCGTTGACATTTTGATAGTACCTTTTAAATGAACATCGAAGAGTAGAAGGATTCAACTATAACTGGACAGATAAAAGTCTTAATTAGACATAGCTAATAGCAAATGGTGCTGTTGACTTTGTAGAAAGTATTTTGTAGGTTTATTTTAACCATTATTTAAGTTCTCTAACCTGAAACTTGGTTGGGTATGAAATGCAGTTTTAGGAGCCATGTCTAGATATGGTAACAAAAGTTCTTTCAGTCATATGTTTCAGTTAGATTAATTTTTATTCTTCAGCTTACCAGCATTGAACCCTGAATTGATTCTTCTGGATAAATTACCTACCAGGAGCCAGCACATTTGGATGTGTTGTGTGTGTGCGTCCGTGAAGGGTTGTTGTCGCAGTTCACAGTAGGATTTTGGGAAAGTAGCAATTTAACACATTTCATAGTATTAACATTAACATGTCTTAGATATTGAGCAATTAGTAGAACACTGAAATTATGAAGATGATGTGTTAGGTTTTGGAATCTATGGGATTTAGAGAATCATACTACTTAGTATTCCTGTGCTTGCTTTTCAGGGTCATTTACAGTGCAGGACTTGGCTAATTTTCAAGGAGAATTGGGAGTTTTGAAGGACCTTGTGCGTTTGTTCATTTTCTGGAAATTAGTCCTTTCTCAGAAGTTCAAAAATGTTGGCTGATGAATGTGAATGTTGACTTATTCTTACGTAATCTTTTAACACAATATCTAAAATTCTTGCTTTTGCTTGTTAATGGCAGTGAATGGCAGCTGTCAAGTCAAGCCTTCCTCTAAAGCAGTGGTTCTCATCAGGATGATTTTTGCCTCCCCAGGGGACATTTGGCAATGTCAGGAGACCTTTTTGACTCTCATGGCTTGGCGGGTGATCCTGTAGCGCATTAGATAGCTCCCCGCGACAAAGGATTATCTGGTCCAGATGTCAGCAGTGCTGCCCCCGAGAAACCTGATCTAAAGGTTCCGCGTAGTGTGTGGCGCCTCCAAAGTGAAGCCGGTGAGGGAGGGTTTGGGATTCCAGGCCCTTGGCTTCTCTCGAGAAATTTAGGATTATTTGGAATTCTAGATGCGGCCCAGTCTTGGGCAGTGATGAAGAGACCCTTCCCGTAGGAATCTTCCCTTGTGTGTTTCCCCCACCTGTTTCTTCATTGTCATTACATAGCACTATCTAGGAGCCTACACTGATTCTTCAGAACTCCAAGTTCACCTCGCATTCATGTTTGGCCGAGGAGAATACCTGGTGTTAGACCTTGTGTAGCCGAGAGCTCGTCTGCGCTTGCGATGCCTGCTGGTGCTCACTGTAGTGAAGTCAGCGCTTTGACTCGCATAGAAGAATGCTTGAGTTGAATTTTCCTAAGAAGGTCTTCATGTTTTTCTCTGCTTAGTGTCATAGAGATTAAAGGTCTGTTTTGATACTGCTCCTCAATTAACATTAGAGTTACATGATTTTTAAGAGTAGATTTTGATTTTAGTTTAAATGTTATTTGTAGATTATTGTTAGGGTGTTATTAAGGATTTTGTTTTTTCGATATTTTGTGCTCTCTTTTCCTTCCCTCAGTTTTTTTCCCTCTTTCTGGTTAGCTGTCAGTATAGTGAACCTCACTTAGCTGCAGTTCATTAGTTCTTAGGGTTAATTGTTTTCTTTTAGTCAGTAAAAATTATATAGTGTGTTCTCTACCTTAAAAGAGATTTCTGTACTGGGAATGGACTTAAAAAAATGCTTCGAGAATTAAATTGTCATCAGTAGTCCAAAATGATGTCTGAGCCATTTCTAAAAAGTTACTCCTTTTTATGCCTTCTCTGAGCAACGTTTTTATTGTTTTATAAATATTTTTCAAAAAGAGATTACCAAATATGTACTAATTTGTTTGCAAATCCTTCTGTAGCTCACCAGAACAAGCTAGAAGAAATGATTAACGAGCTAGCAGTGGCGATGACAGCCGTAAAGCATGAACAGGAATACATGGAAGTTCGGGAGAGAATACACAGAGCAAGTGAGTGAACGAATGGGTTAACTTTGCAGCATTGTCTGTGGTGGCCACAAATGCTGAGGGTGTCTTACCCAACAGCTTGCTTTGATTTTTCCTCATTTAGAAGTTTTGCAGACATACTCAGATTAAATCATTAACTTAAAAAAAGTACCTATGCAAAGATATTTTATACGTGTTTGTAGAGCTTTGTACTACACTAGTTTATTATTGGGACATTGATTCTAAACCACGAAATGATATTAAGATTCAGCACAGTATTAAGAGTTTTCAAAACATATGGTCACCTACCTAAGGAATGAAGCAAATCGTTTTTTTAAAGCAGAAAGGAAAAACACTATAAAATGGCTATTGCATTGGTTTTTAATCAAATGCCTAAAACTTTTGTGCCAGTATGATTAATGGTATATGCTAAGATTTAGCTTTTTTCCCCCTAAAACGGAGCGTTTAGTCTAGATAAAATAGCACAGAAATACGAACAAGGGCAGTCACCAAGTGAATACCAGTTTGGATTCCCAAATTTGTAAACTGGAAACTGAGAATGTGTTTGTGGAAACTGATGATCGGAAGCCCATGTTAGATTGCAAAAGCCTGTTTAGCCCATAATACAGCCTTAAGCATTCTGCTTTTGCATGTAAAATTAAGAGGTAGCATGTGTTGACCCACAGACAAGGTATCATATTTTAGATCCAGGTCCACACCTGTGGTTCAGTGTCTTCCATCCCCCAGGTAGTTCTGAGAGATGGACCTCACCGGGAGCAGGCTCTTGTCTGTGAGCACAGAGTGACCTGGGCCAGGCATCTTTGTTCTGGGGCGGGGTAGGGAGGGGAAGGAAGCACGATGCTGAGAGGTCAGCAGAGGTGAATTTCTTCAAGGTGTGGATTCTGTTCTTCTCGCTCGCTTACATCTGTTCTTGCCGCTGGGGGAAGGGAACTGGCGGGACCTGGAGCGTGGACTTCCCCTCTCCATGGGAGAGCGACGAGTAAATATGACAGATTGGAGCAGCACCCCCGTTCTCGCTTTTTTGGGGTGGAGTGAGGCATGAGCATGAGGGGGACCAACGCGTGTACACACACTCGTGCCTCTTGCACCATGAGTCCTTCTCCTTGCTACCACTCTGGGATCTTTACCTTCTGTCCCTCATCTGGCAGGGACCCGTCTGTGGGCTACCTTCTCCCAGGTGGAGGCCAGCCCATTCTGGGATGAGAAAGGCACTGAATAGTGCGAAGGCCAAGATTTTCACTGTTTTGCAGACCAGGTGGCTTTATAGGTATAGGAGGTTCCTGGGAACATAGCAGCCAGACAAAGCACCCGTCTTCCGGTTTCTGAGTGGCCAACCTTATTCTTTCTCCATTAATTTGACCAGAGAGACGTTCACAGACAAGTAGAACTTCAGGCATTTAGTTTAATTTTGCAAGTGAAATAGTTCCTCAATGCCGTTTGTTTTGTACATCCGCCCACAGCACCCTAAGACAGATGAACATGAGACTTCCTTTTTACTGCAGTGTGATAATAACGCCGTGTTGCCTACAGGTCAGGCTGATATGCGCGTGGCATGATGACATTGTCTGATAGGCACATGTTCTCCCAGGTGGCTGCTTACTGTGCTAGTATGCTTCATTGTGTTCAGTTTAAGCTTAAAGATGCATTTTTCTATAAGTGAAGGGAGATATAAATACTTCTTGACATGGTTTCTTAATTCGAAGTATTTACTCAGCCATTCCCTTTCAGACATGATCTTAAAATGTGAGTCATTGGTGATTATGCTAGAGATTAATTACGAAGTTTTCAGTAGAAGTAAACGTCACACCAGGGAATAAGCACTAAAATTTAAGTGTTGGTTTTTAGGGTTCTAGTCAAGGTCCTTGGGCACCTGCCTATTCTTACTCTGGGAAGGCATCCTTCTGGAAATATGTTAGTTGCTTTCTTTTCATTTCTTTTTGAGTGATCATCAGTCTAGTAGCTGTTACAATTCTAATTAATCTTTTTACAAATAGTATACAAACTTTTTGTATGTAAAATGTGGCACTCATTCAGCTGATTACTATGATACTATATTGCTAATTATAAATATTTCTCATGTTGGATATTTGCAGAAGACCACCTAGTAATTTAAAAAAGTTAAGTCGATAGAATTGGATCAGAAACTAGAAAGAAAGTGATGTAAGTTGAGCAGGATAAAATAATGTGGTTATAGCTGTTACTTTAAGGATCCGATCCTTAGCTTAAGAGTGGGATAAATCGTGAGACTTATTCAGGTTTACTTGGTATAACTGCCATTTCTAGTCCTCGAAACTGAGAAAACTGCCCCCACCTAGAACAAATGCCAAGTACATAGTAGGTGCTCAGTAAATATTTGTCAAGTAACTGTTTAAAGGAAAAGACGCTTTGACACATTTTAACTTTGTAGTGCTTTTTGGGTAACTCTGTGATCTTGAAACAATCTATTAATTTTTTAAGTCAATTTTCTAATTCGGCAAAAAGGATTATAATGTGGGACATTTCAACCTGAGGGAGAAAGAATGTTGGATTGGGTTTTAACCCTACAAGTGTGACCTTGGGCAAGTCACTTTTCCTCTGTATTCCACATTCATAAGCAGAGTTGGCTTGACTATACTCCAAATCCATTTAAATCTAGAATTCTCTGCATCTAAGTATGTTGGGGACAGAAATATTTAGACTACGATAAATGGTATGTAAGTAAGGCTAGGGGATAGTTTATGATGCCTTTGTGGGGTTTTTTTTGGTTTTTTTTTTTTTTTGGTTGTTAAAATTTTGTTTGTTTGTCCTCAACAGTCAATGACAACACAAACAGCAGAGTGGTCCTTTGGTCCTTCTTTGAAGCTCTTGTTCTAGTTGCCATGACATTGGGACAGATCTACTACCTGAAGAGATTTTTTGAAGTCCGGAGGGTTGTTTAAAAAGCCTTTTCCTGATGATCCGAAACTCATAATTCACTGTTTACCGACAAACATCTTGGTCATAATAATGTCATGAGTTTGTATGTTTTTATTTTCTGAACTGTACACTCACAGCTTATGTTTCTTTGTGATTAATAGATATTGAGGAAAAACACCTGATTAGGAAAGTTACAATGAAAATTTGACATTTGATTGGCACAATTTCTTATTCGTATTCTGCCTCCATTATACAGGTCCTCCCAGAGCTCAAACAATGTAAGCGAAACATAGGCAAATACTCCTTATGACATCTTCTTTCGCTACCATAATAAAATGCCATTTGTTCAGGATAGTACTTTACTAAAATGACTGCATTCCTTGGACCCCCTACCCTGCAGTTCTAGTCATTAAAGATTCATTTTGTTGAATCCTTATGAGAAACAACAGTCTGAATCGTGACGTTTTCTATCCACCTAATGGCAGAGCTCTGTGACTTTGGAGTATGCTACCAGGTTGGTACTTTTATACTTTGTGTATTTGGTTTTGTTTTAAAAATAAGAATTAACCCAACAACACTTTCCTCCTAAATTTTCACTTTGAACCTTAGGACTTCACCTTTACTTAAATTGATGACACAAGCAGCTAATAACCATTGTTTGGTTTCTGCCTGACCGTGTAAGAAGTCTCCCTTAAAGCCAATTCTCTGGGTGTTTCAGCCAATAGTAGCTTTTTCTTTCTATGCTGGCACATCACTTTCTCTCCTCTTGGCACGCAGCACTATGCATTCACGTAATTGAAAAAAATCTGGATGTCTGATGGCAAAAGGTTAAAGCCTCCGATTTCATTGCAGTGATATACAGCCACTATTTTATTTTTGATCGACGGCATTTGGCCACTCTATAATTAGGGTACTGAACATCACTGTCAGTACTAGGGTTTTGGTTTTTGTTTTTCTTGGGTCTTTTTTGGCACATGTGAATTTTGTTTTGTATAAAACGAAATGACTTTATCTTGGTCTCTGATGATGGGTTTAAAATTAAAGGAGCATCTGGTTTTGGTGTGGGGACGATCCAGGATTATGTTGTGACTGATGTACATTAGTTACTTGTACATTATTTTTTTTTTCGGATCTTTGCAAAGGTAAAACTACAAGTAACGAGTTTTATATAATTAATTTAAATTTGTTACAGGTTTTCATGTTCAGGATAAACAATTTTTCAACCTTGGGTGAAAATACTTGCAACAGTTTAAGGTGACTGTTTTACCTTAGGACAGCTGTTGCATGCCAATTTATTTTTTTTGTGTGTGAGAAAACATTTCAAAATTGAATTAAAACATGTAAATTTAAAATTGGTTGTGTATCTAATCTGCCCCAGGTTCAGTAAATAAACAATTCTTTTTAAAAACAGTTTTAGCATTCTGTGTTTTATATATTAATGAATTCACATTTGTTGTTTCTGTTCATATTCAAAATGAGACATGTCCACATTTTCTGAGTAATTATGCCTGTTATAAATGACTGACTTAATGGCTGAACTTGAGGGTAGTGAATAGGAAAGAACCCAATTTTAGATTTCCCTGTGTGGTTTCTTTGATGGATCAGTGATAACATCGTAAGTGTTTTTGTATTTGGAAAAAGTTTTGAGTGATTTTCACTCAACTACCTGGTTTATGGATGTGGGAAATAAATTTAAGAGGGATTAAGTGATTTGCCCAAGGCTTTGAGATGAAGAGTGATTGATGGAAACAAACTAGTTCTCTGCCTTTTGAAACTATTCCTCTTCCTCCATGACACTAGGGGCCTGCTAGTAATAAATGAAACTGCCACTTATGGAGCCCTGTAATGTCCTGGTGCGATGCTAAGCGCTTTTTATCATCTGACTCATTTATTCCCCAAAACCGCGGTTACCTTGGGTGCTATCATAATCCTCATTTTGGAGATAAGGAAACAGGCTTGGAAAGGGTCCCAAGTTCAGATAATAGTGAAGCCCCAAGTGCAGATGGCACAACGTTCTTTCCCTCTGCTTTTGCTTTGGGAGCTGTCTGAGGATCCCCCATTTTATAAAACGGTGGGCAAAGGTGGTTTGAGGATGTGAAAATGTTACCTTGGGCTTTAATTCCGTTTGAGACGACTGGAGTCTGCATGAGTACCGTTTCCATTTATCCTAAAATACTGACTGTACTACCAGCTGTAGCCACCGAGATAAAGAAAATAGAGGGAAATCTCCCACTGTCGGGATTTATCTTTTAGCGGGGGAGATGAAGTGAATACGTAAGTCACACGACATGTCGTTAATGGTAGGGGCTGTGGGTAAGCGGTTGTAGTGACCAGGAATGGAAAACATCACTAAGGTGACATTGGAAAAGTCCTGATAAATGTAAGGAAGCAGGCCGTGCACATAGCTGGAGCCCGGCACATGATGTGAACAGTAAAACCTTTCCGAATGATGGAAGCGCGTGGGCCGTCACAGGTGAACACAGGGATGAGAAGACAGTATTCTTGTATAGGACTCCGGCGTAACTTCCTCAGAGCCAAACCCACATTTATTATGTAGCAGGCACTGGATCCCCACGTCAACCCTATTTTGCATTACGGTGAACCTGGGGCTCCGGAGCTGGGGTACATTTCTGTCCTCCCTCCACTGCCCTTTGGCCAGCACGCGGTATGGTGCTGCCATCTGCCTCCAATTAGCGGAGAAAGCGGGAGCCGGAGCCGAATCCCTCCCGCCCAAACGCCTGCCGGGCGTGGAAAGCCGCCCCGAGCCTAAGTGGCAGCGCCGGACGACTGGCACCACTCTGGCCGGGCCCCCGCCACCGGCTTTCACTCTCCCGCGGTTGGTTTTCCACTCTCCCGGGGCGAGGGCACCTTCCGCGCCCTCCGGAACCTGGCTGCTGCGCTTCGGTTCCCGGCCGGCCTCGGCGGCGGCGTAGGCGTCCGGAAGCGGAAGTTCTAGCTGGCGGCGCTCCTGAATCCGGGAGCCGCGGCGGGTGTGCGCGCCATGGAGCATGTGACGGAGGGGTCCTGGGAGACGTTGCCGGTGCCGCTGCACCCGCGGGTGCTGGGCGTGCTGCGGGACCTAGGTTTCCCGTACATGACACCGGTGCAGGTACCCGGCGTGGCCCTAGGGGACGAGGGGCCGCCGTGCGCCGGGGGCAGATGGGGAAAGGCAGGCTCAGAGCCGGCCGGGCACCCGCTGAACGGGACGCGGCCGGTCGGTCTTAGCATTAGCACTCGCATCCAGGAGTTTTCAGCCTTCCAGCGGGGACTTCTACCACGTCTCCAGGCTGCCCGGACTCGGGCGATGCCAAGCTGCTAGTGACTCAGGCAGGCAGAGGCGGCTGGCGGCGGCGCACCTGTGCCGGGGTCCTCACGCCCCTGCCCACCTCCACCTTTGGGTGCTAGGATTTAAGTGCCTGGTTCATAGCCTGTCCCGTCCCTTCTAGCTGTCAGACTGATGTGATGGACAGTGACAAGAAGGTCCAGGATAGGAGGAATGATAGGGCGTTAGGAAGGGTGTCACTGAGCTGATAGCTGAGTGATTGAGAAGGAGCTGGCTGTGGGGTTACTGGAGAGTATCCCAGCAGAGAGAAATGCCAGTGCAAATGCTCTGTGGCAGGAAATGGGCTTGGAGGAACAGAAAGAAGCCCGTTGTGACTGGAGCCTCAGGAATGGTGGCCGAGATGAGCAAAACAGAATCTGTGTTGTGCAGGGTCTTGTAGGAGCTTGGAGTTAATTCTCGGTGCAGTGGGAAGCCATCTTATATGGGAAGCTGTGCAACAAGAGAAGGGATGTGACTACTGTGTAGAGAATGGACTTTAAAGGGGTAAGAAGAGGAGCAGGGAGGTCAGGAGGCCATTGTCACTAAGAGATGATGGTGGCTTGGAGTAGAGAGAGAGCAGTGGATATTGAGAAGTTGGGTTCAAGATTGCTTTAGGGTTGCTGAGGAACCAGATCGGGGCCTACGAAAGAGAGGAATCTAGAGGGATCCTGAGCTTTCTGTCCTTAGCGTCTGGGTGGATGGTGGCTACTAGAAATGTTAAAATTGTGTATGCGACTCACATATTTTTTGCTGGACAGCAGTGATCTAGAGCAGAGTTTCTCAATATTTGCACTGTTGACATTTTGGACTGGATGCTTCTTTGTTGTGAGTGCTGTCCTGTGCATTGTAGGCTGTTTAACAGCATCCCTGGCTTCTACCTACTAGATGCCAGTAGCACCCCCGCCACACACACACACAGACACACAGTGGCATTTGGGTACCAAAATGTCTCCAAGCATTGCCAGGTGTTCCTTGGGGGGACAGAAATCACCCAGATTGAGAACTGCTTGTGCAGAGGCCATCACAACACCCAGATATGTTGTGATGGGGTGAGCTCAGGCTCGGGGGAGCAAGGCGAGGGTCCTGGAGAGGTGACCTCAAAGCCAGGCCCTGAGTCTGCTTCATGTTTAGCCACTGGTTCCTGAACCCAAAGGGCCGGGCTTTTCATAACCCCCGGAGGCCGGCACAGTGTTTACAATGAGAGGGTCTGTGGAATTATTGTTCTCTGATACTAGAGCTGGAAGGGACCTTCAAACCCTTCCTGGTCCAGAGCGGAAAAGCAGGTGAGGCAGGACTAGAATTCAGGACTCCTGAATCCCAGCTCAGCTCGCGTTCCCCTACACACATGTGCAGACACCCCATCATGATACCTTGGGGTGCCTAGCGGTGACTCTGCTCAGAGTCCGCTTTGGGGTGGGGCCCAAGGCCGCCCAGTACATGCCCAGGGCTTTGGCTCATCTGTGGAGTCACGGCATTCTCTAACCAGCGCTTTGCCCTCTCTCCTTAGTCCGCAGCCATCCCTCTGTTCCTGAAAAACAAAGACGTCGCTGCAGAAGCGGTGAGTACCTGGCGTCAGGGCAGCCCGTCCTCCTGTCTTCCTTCTAAAATGAACCGTGAGGGAAAACCAGCCAACACCTTCTCCCCTTGCAGGTCACCGGGAGTGGGAAGACACTCGCTTTTGTCATCCCCATCCTGGAAATTCTCCTGAGACGAGAAGAGAAGTTAAAAAAGAGTCAGGTGAGGAGAGCTAAGTGACTTATTTTCACTTAGTCGTCGGAGAGGTCACAGTTGAGTAAGACGCTGGCCAGAAGCTTCATACATAAAAATACAGCCTGTCCTCAGTATTTGCAGATTCTGTATCTGCGAATTTGCCTGCTCGTTAAGATGGACTCGTAGCTCCCCAGTCAGGACTCGTCGTGCTGTCTCGCTTACCCGTGGGCTCGCGCAGAGCAGTGACAGGTTTGGGTTGCCTGCTGCGCACCCTCCTGGCGACACTCTGCCTTCCTGTTTCAGCTCTCCCACTGTAGATGGGTCCCTTTCACAGTCTGCGTACTGCCGTGGTTTTCACATTTTCTTTGGTGATTTCACGGTTTAAAATGGCCCCAAGCATAGTGCTGACGCGCTGTCCAGCGTCCCTGAGTGCAGGAAGGCTGTGACGTGCCTTACGGAGATGACACGTGTATTACCTTAGCTTCATTCCGGTGCGAGTTATCGGTCTGTTGGCTGAGTTTAATGTTAATGAATCAACAATATATATTACATAAAAACGTAAATCAAGGTTATGTATTGATGGGTTGACAAACATGTGACTAGAGGCACGTGGGACGCTCACCCCGTATTTCTCCGGGAGCAGTGGTTTAGTGTCTACTAGCTCATGTTTGCGGTGACTATAGAACAGAACTGCCGTGAATAATGAGAACTGACCAGGATTCAAAGTCATTGAGTGCACTGTAACCAGACAGTGCTGAGCGAGCCCCAGAAGCACCGTTCCTCTGGGAGTCTCCCTGTGAGGTGGGGGGTGCGGGGCGTGTGTGTGGAGGTCGCGAGCCCCGCACACTGCTCATCATGTCCCTTCCCCCCACATGGGCAGGTTGGAGCCATAATCATCACACCCACTCGAGAGCTGGCTATTCAAATAGATGAGGTCCTGTCGCATTTCACGAGGCCCTTCCCACAGTTCAGGTACAGTGGATGCAGTGTCCCTGCCGGCCACGGGCCGTCGTGTTGCCTGACCTCACAGACCTGTCTCTTGTTGTAGCCAGATTCTCTGGATCGGAGGCAGGAATCCTGGAGAAGACGTTGCGAGGTTTAAGCAGCAGGGGTAGGTCTGGGGTGTCTGCTTGCTCCGCTCATCTCTTCGCTTGCCCTTGGCACTGAACCTGAGAGGAATCGATATGTGATCTAGGCACCTTCCCCCCGAAAGGTTTTCTTTCCTGGTCAACCTGACGTTTTGCTCGCCGGCTCCTTCCTTCAGCCCTGCCAAATACTCGCCTCCAGCGAGCGTTGCCCCTGGAAGGGGAGGGGGGCAGGGCGGGGTGTGGCCCCCCACTCTCTCCAGACGACTCTGGGGCCCTTGTCTTCTGGGCTCTCTCTACGTGGTCTCATCCTTCACTGGGTGGTCTCTGACCTCGCCCTCAGCCCCAGACCTACAGACTCTTGTCCGCCTGGCATCTCCCCTGGCCTCTCAGCGGCTGCAAACATCTAAAATGGGGGCTTGGAGTTTTAGCCCCAGACACGCACCTCAGCTGCAGATCTCCGTTCTTCGGCCCGCTCACGTGCTCCTGGAGTCAGCCCTGACACCCCACTGTCCCCCCACGAGGCCCCTCCCCCCTCACTACTCACATTAACCATCACCCGGTCCTTTGCATTTTCTCACCAAAGTGTGTCTCTAACCTGTCGCTGCCTGTCCCACTCATTCCCTCCCGGGTCCTGCAGTAGCTTTGTCTCTCCTTTCCGTGTTTCTCCTTACGATCCGCTCCACGGAGCAACCCAGAGCGGCCTCTTCAGAATGCCAGTCTGATCACGTCGCTCCCTGAAGACACTCTCGTGGCCCTGCTGGCTCTGATGTTAGTACAGGGCCTGCGAGGCCACCGTCCCCCAGTGCCACCCCCTTCCCTCCCCAGCCTGCTGCTGCAGTGTCCTTGCTGGCTTCTCGGTACCGTGTGGGCCAGGAGGCCTGGGGAAGTCGGGAGTGTCTCTCGCAGCGCTTTATGTTCAGAGGCTCGCGCAGTGTGGAGCGCGCTGCAGGTGGTACTAGACATTTGGGGTGTGCGCTCCAGTATGGGGTGCACCGGCCCTTGGGATTCATTTGGCCCCTCCATGCATAAGGCTTGTAAAGGGCTGTGATAGGTTTTGCGCCCAATTCGTTAGTCAATCTTTACGAAGAGAAGTCTCTTTTACTGAGCGCTCACTGTGTCCCAGCTATAAGGTGAGATGCTTTCCAGTAGGGGTCACAAACTGGTTCCTCTGGGGGTCAGGTTGGGGTCAGGATAATATAACGGCGTGAAGGGGGTTGGGGGGTGTTGGGGAGGAGCTGGCTGGGAGGCGCCAGAATGCTTGACTCCAGCTGGTAGCTGCTGTGCAGGACTCTGGCTGGATATTGGGTTATTCAAAAGAATATGGAATTCTAGATTTTTGTGTTATCTCCAGATTTTTTTAACCATTGGCATGTAATTCACATTTTTAAAAATCTTGCAGGTCAGCCAATCTTTGCGGCCACACTGGGTTTTCAGTCTGCCAGTCTGTGATCTTTACATAAAAGTATCTCTACTTCGGTTAGCGTCCTCATTTTGTAGACAAGTTAGTTACCTGGGGCCTAACGTGGCTAAGTGCCTTGTTCTCGGTCAGCAGTCTGCAAACCTCTCTGTAAGGGACCAGATGGTTAATATTTTAGATTGTGGACCACACAGTCTGTCACAGCTTTCAGCTCTGCTGTTGTGGTGTGGAAGCCACCAGAGACCACACGTGAATGAAGGAGTGTGGGCGCCTGTCAATAGAATGTCATGGAAACAGGCGGAGGCCAGACTTGGCTGATGGGCTGGAGTCTGGAGTCTGTTGGCCGCCCTAGGTCTCAGCCTGGAGGCGGAGTCCGTCTCCCCCGCAGCCCACGTGCTCCCCACACTGCAGCGTTCCTCCCTGGCTCCTGTCTCCTCTCTCTTTCCTGGGAGCCGGGTGACTTTTGGGGGGTGGTATCTGGTAGCAGAAATATGCGCAGGATCAGAGAGAGTGGGAAACGTTAACTGTTTTCCAAGTGGGAACATCGTGGTGGCGACTCCAGGCCGCTTGGAGGACATGTTCCGGAGGAAGGCTGAGGGCTTGGACCTGGCCAGCTGCGTGAAGTCCCTGGACGTCCTGGTGTTGGATGAAGCAGACAGACTTCTGGACATGGGGTTCGAGGCAAGGTGCTGGATCGGGAGCTCTATTGGCTTTGGGTGGCACTGGGTGCAGAAGGGAGGCCCAAAGGGAATGAACGCCCTTGTTTCCTCATGACTTTGAACTTCAGAACGTTAGGTGGTTTGGTCCTTCAAATTCTAGTACACAATTTAAGTTCCAGTTCTTCATTCTCCTTAAGGTGCATTTTCCTTTGTGGTTTCTTTAAGATTTTTTAAAAAATAAACAGCTCTGTTGGGATATAATTCATATCTCATATAGTTCACCCACTTAAAGAGTACAGTTTAGTGGGTTTTAGTCTCAAGTTTTGTTTCATAATTTCACTCGCTGCTTTTAATTGTCTCATATTATGAAAGTATAATTATGTGCTTCGGAGAAACCTTGGGAAAATGAGAATATAAGAAGAAATGAAAATCACCTATGGTCGCACCTCTCAGTATATCTACTGTAAATATTGCGATAGTTTCTCTTTGTCTTCTAAAGACCTGCGTGGTATCATAATGCAGGATTTCTGGATTATGCCGATGAATGAGGCTCCCCTCCCCACCCCTTTTTTTTTTTAGCATTAACACCATCCTGGAGTTTTTGCCGAAGCAAAGAAGAACGGGCCTTTTCTCCGCCACTCAGACGCAGGAAGTGGAGAGCCTGGTGAGGGCTGGCCTCCGGAACCCCGTGCGGGTCTCGGTGCGGGAGAAGGGCGTGGCGGCCAGCAGCACCCAGAAGACCCCCTCCCGCCTGGAGAACTACTACATGGTGAGCACCCGACGGCATTCTCACTGTTCCCTGCGATTCTGTGTCCTCACGGCTGGAGTCTGAGGCGCGGCTTGGTGACAGCAGTTAGTTACACTGTTGTGTACTTGAAATTTGCTAGGAGGGTGGATCGTAAGTGTTCTTACCAAAAAATAAAAAAAAGCTAACCACGTGACAGGATGGACGTGTTGGCTGCCTTGAGTATCTCGAGTATGGTTTCATTGTGCACATGTATCAAATCATCACATTGCACGCCTTAAATATACACAGTTTTTACCTGCCAATTATATCGGTAAAGCCAGAAGAAATCAAACAAGTGTTTGATTAAATTGCTAAGGCAATTTAATGAAAAAAATCTTAATTTTTTTTTATTTAAACTGTTTTCAATAAGCTTAGTTCTGTCTTTCCTTTTACATGATCAACTGTAATAATTGTTTTAGTAATGTATTAGGTTTTTGTGTTTCTGCTTACTTGAAAAATGATTCCTTAATTTTTTCTTAATTTTCCCTGTTTCATCAATATAGTATACAGTGTTCTCACTAATGTGTTAACTTTTTGCAATTAAAACAAGCAGAAATTAGTAACGATGAGTGTTCTAGGGATTAGCTTATAGTTTTCTAGGAAAGTAAATCTGTAAAATGATACCCATGGTATATTCTAAAATACATTTGGGGACAGAGCAGGACTGTCGTTATGGGTGGTCAAAATTGGTGACTGCATGAGTTAACGTGGGCATAAATGTGTGTTATGCATAGTCCCCAAGGACAGTTGTGTGGTTCTCCTACCCCCAGGCGGTATGTTCTTAGCTCACATGTGTGGGGTATGCTGGGTACAGGCACCGGAAGCACTGGGTTCCCGGGCCTGTCAGAACGCGCCTGAGTTAGGTAGACTGATGGACGTTCTGACAAAAGTGTCTTATTCATGTAAGAAAGTAGATTCTTTAAAATTTAAGGCTGAAACAAAATAGCTATGGGGATTATTATTGTCAATCAATTTGTTTTTATTAGTTTGCCTTTTTATTTTGTAGGTGTGTAAGGCGGATGAGAAGTTTAATCAGCTGGTACATTTTCTTCGCAATCGGAAGCAGGAAAAGCACCTGGTCTTCTTCAGGTAATGAGTGCTCTGAACTCTGCTAAGAGTCGGGGCCCAGCCGCACCTGGAAAGCACAGGTGTGTGTGGCACTCGGACTTGTGGTTCCATTGAGGGCGGTTCTCTCCGTTAGGAATGCTTTTGGCTGCAAATAACCAAAACCCAACTTCTGTGGCTCAAGCGGGAGGGACTTATTTTTCTCCTGTAAAAGTCCACAGGTAGGCAGTGTCTGGCTTTGGTTTATGTCCCGGCAACATCAGGGTCAGTGTTTCTGCAGTTATCCTGGCCTTTCCATCCTGTCTGTCACTTCATACTCTTGAGATGATCACTGTCACACTCACTGTCCTGTCTGCACTGAAAGCAGATAAAAGAGGAAAGGCAGACGGGGTGGGGAGGGCAATGTTAGCCCTATCTGTCCCTTTGAATCAGAAGAGCAGGAGGCTTTCTCAGAAACCCCTCCTCCCTGGCTGGCTTGGCTTCCATTTTATGGGCCGACGGTGGGTCACTCGCAGCCCCTCACATCAAGAATGGTGGAGAGAGTGAGTGTGTAGTTGTCCCGGCCTCTGTGGTGAGGAGGCAGAGGAGGAGGTGGCTGGGAATGGCATTCGATCGGCTAGCCCCGTGTCTGTCACAGGGGGGTTTGCCCTGCTGTCAGAATGCAAGATTCAGGACAGATGTGGTGCTTTTTGACACTACCTGAAGGTTTTTTTTTCTTTTTCACCTGTCCGTCCACCAATAAAGTACATCAGCTCTCCAAGCGTGAATGCGAAACGGAGTTCACAAAACCACACTCGGCGCGGCGGGCCGCGTTTCTGCTGTTTTCTGTTCTGGTCCAAACTCACTAAATTGATTTCAGGACCCCCCAGATTGCTGTCAGGACCTATGGGTTGTGACTTGCAGTGTGTAAAACTGCTTTATTATGTACTGGTGTGACTTGTGGCGGAAACTGTGAAGCAGTCACTTTGCACGGGTACATAAGACACAGGTGTTTACGTAGACAGGAGTCGCCTGGCTTGGAATCTGCAGCCTGGCCTGGAGGGAGGGACACTGCAGGACTCCGACCTTGGCTCTGGCTCTGCCGCTTCCCCATTGCCTCTCCCTAAGCTTCAGTCCCCTCATCTGCAAATGGACTTGACGTCGCGTTGGAATCCCTCCAAATGCGATGGCCCTGCTCCCTTATGTCGTTGGGTGACTCGAAGCTGAGACCAGGTACCTAGGCGAGGATGATGGGTCTAACTTAGGTTGTCCACTGAGCCCAGGGGTCACACTAATGGGGGAGGAAGCAGTTCCCCAAATGAGGAGCAGGGATGTTTCGAAATCTTACGACACTTTATATTTCAGACGTCATTGTTTGTTACGAAGGACAGCTTGCACTAATGCTGTTTCTCAGGGCGGGGAGAGCCCCCTTGCTGGAACATCTTTAGACAGTGAAAATACATCCTTGGGGTTTTAATTCACATTTAAGGGATTTTGTCAAAAGATCGGCTTTTCACTGCAGAGAGGGTTCGAGGTTCAGAGCTAAGCTGTGGGTGAAGTTCACAGCCGTCTCCATGTTTCCCAGAGGATGGGGTCATCACTGTCGGTGCTCACGGCCTTCCCCCGCCCGCTGTGGAAGGGCGGGTGGCCAGCGACCACGCCCTCTGTCCCTCTTGCAGCACCTGCGCCTGCGTGGAGTACTACGGAAAGGCCCTGGAGGCGCTGGTGAAGGGCACGGAGGTCATGTGCATCCACGGGAAGATGAAGTACAAGCGGGACAAGATCTTCACGGGCTTCCGCGGGTTGCAGAGGTCGGGGAGCTTTGCAGAGATGGGTCTCCAGCCACTGCACGCGTCTGCCCGTCCCTCTGCCCCAAAGCCCCGTGGGTGACGTGTCCACAGCCTGCAGCCCCCTCTGCCCCAGTTACCACATCCCCTCTGTGCAGATGCCCAGAGCCCGTCCCTCTGTCCTGACCCCACTGCACGTGGCGACTCCCCTGCTCGATTTTAAGCTGCAGCACAACAGAACCCGTATGTTGTGTGCACGCCTGATTCCCTGGTTTCGGCCCAGGGCCTGGCCGGTGGGGGTCATGGCAGCTGTTGAATGGGTGAAGCGGGCAGGTAGGAGCGACCCATGACGTCCAGCTTGCAGGTTGTCGTGCAGGTGACGGCACAGTAGGGAATGCGGAGCTCGGTGACCGTAACTCGATTCTGTCTGTGCATTTAAATAATACTTTTCTGTTTTCCTTAATTATGAGCATCCTTGCTCTGTTAAAAGCAATCTTAGGCAAAGTGATACAACCATTATAGTCAGGCATGGAAAATTTCACTTGTCTTTTTTAAACACCTGTGAAGCTTAGACCCTCTAGTTTTTTTTTTCAAGTGGAAATATGCTAATTTAAAAAACCCTTTCACTGTCTCCTCTCACCTTCTATTTTCATTGGGAATTTCTAAAGCCCTAGAGCGTCTTAGGAGGAAGAAAAAATGAAAATCTTGAGATTCTAGAACCTATGTATTACAGCTGTCCTCACCGAGGTCATTTAAGGCTGCTGGTGATGAAAACGGTGGCCTCCTCACGCAGAACCGTGTCTTGTCATTTTCTAGCGGGATTTTAGTGTGCACTGACGTGATGGCCCGAGGAATAGACATTCCCGAAGTCGACTGGGTTTCGCAGTACGACCCTCCCAGCAACGCAAGGTACAGCACGGTCGTCGTTCCCCTCTGCCTGGGACCTCGCCTAACGAAATACGGATCCCGAGGGAGTAAACAAATGACGTTTGCCAGGTGTTATTCTAACTGGCAAAAATAGGCGAATGGGTGCATCACTGGTATGTCAGTAATGATTCTATGTCACACAGCAGTCAAAAGGTATTTTCCAATGAAAGGTATTTTTCAAGTTCCTGCAGAAATGTACATGATAGAATGTTGAAAGGAAAACAGTACGTCACACCACAGATGAACATTTGTTATTCTCCTAAAGTAAGCAGGTTTTCTTAAGAAGTGCTGTCAAGCATAAGCCCCTGAGCAGTAATAATGGTTATTTCTTGGTGGAGGGCTTACAGGGCCTCTTTTTTTTTTTTTTTAAACACTTTTCATGATTTTCCAGATTTTCTGTTAGGACCGTCAGATCATCAGATAGGAATAAATCTAAAAGCTTTCTAGTTCATTAACCGTCTTGCGGAATCCCGTCTGGTTTGCGATGCGTATGTAACCGCCAGCTCTTCTAGTTCAGGGCCCGTAAGTGGCAGAGCTGGGACTGAGCTGCGGGGTCTGGCAGCTGCAGGCCCACGCCCTGCCTGGCGTCGTCACGTGACCGTGCTCCCATCCTGTGTTCGCAGCGCCTTCGTGCACCGCTGTGGTCGCACGGCCCGCATCGGCCACGGCGGCAGTGCGCTGGTGTTCCTCCTCCCCATGGAAGAGTCCTACGTCAATTTCCTTGCAATTAACCAGAAAGTAAGTTGTCATCTCTCTTCATATGGAATACCGTGACGGGTGGCTGGAAAAGTTCTTTTCCATAAGTGGTCTGGAACTCACACTGGGGGCTGGCTGCAAACTCACAGGGCCAGGCTGGCGATGGGAGTGCGGAGCCTCGAAGGCTGTGGAGACACCGGCCTCGTCCAGGGCTGCAGCCACCACTCGGCCCAGCTGAGTCTCTGCTTGGGAACGTGGACTTAGTGTTGCCATACTTTCCAGCCAGAAATCAGGACTTTATGTAAAATCTAATTTTAAAACTTTAAAAAATTTAAAATACTTTTTTGGCCCAAGTAAAATACTTGGGTTGGATTTTGGCTTCCCAGCCTCTGATGTGAGATTAAAATGAACCGTTTGCCTCTGGTTTTGTTGGCACTGGCTCTGAGGGGGAGCCCTGGGGATGAGGTGATTCCAGCCAGGAAAAGTGACTGGCCTCTGTGCAGTGCCCCCTGCAGGAGATGAGCCTCCAGAAGAGCACCGCGGACGTCCTTCCGAGGCTCAGGGCCATGGCCCTGGCCGACAGAGCCGTGTTTGAGAAGGGCATGCGAGCTTTTGTGTCGCATGTCCAGGCTTACGCGAAGCACGAGTGCAGCCTCATCTTCAGGTTAAAGGGTGAGCTGGACGTCTTCCTCTGGTCGTGTCTCCACCTTCAATAGCTGACGGTTTTACAAGTATGAAATTGCTTCGTCTTATAAAAATCTTAGGCACCTGTCAGTGTTAACATTTTCTAAACATGGTTAACATTTTCTAAACATGTAACAGGAAGTCTTCCTAGGGTTTGAGTAGACAGAATAAACTGGCTGTTGAGTATTCCTTTTTAGTAAAAATGTAATTATTTTAATTCTAATTAAAATGAATCCATCAGACTATTTGATTAGAAAAATTTTATTACTAGGAATCTTCACGGGTCGATTCTCCTAATCCTGTTTTGGGTGCTAATGCTGATGTTTTGATTTAACTAGATCTCGATTTTGCTGCTCTTGCTCGGGGTTTCGCCCTGCTCAGGATGCCCAAGATGCCAGAACTGAGAGGAAAGCAGTTTGCAGATTTTGTGCCCGTGGACATTAACACAGACACCATCCCATTTAAAGATAAAATGAGAGAGAAGCAGAGGCAGAAACTCCTGGAGCAACAACGAAAAGAGAAAACAGAAAATGAAGGGAGAAGAAAATTCATAAAAAATAAAGCTTGGTCAAAGCAGAAAGCCAAAAAGAAAAAGAAGAAAAAAATGAATGACAAAAGGAAAAGAGAAGAGGTAAAGTTTGCAGTTTTATTACTTAACATAGTCAATTTAGAATTCCGAACACGTTTTATTGAAATAGTATTTTTTAATAGGAATTGCGTGGGGCTCTCAAATTTCTGCATCACATTGGTGACCTGGGTCTGAGTGTGTCGCTCCTGATTAAGAGCTGCTGCTTTTACTTAGGACGCTGCGGCCGAGAAATTCAGTGGTTTGTTGTTCTCTTCTGCATTTAGGGTTCTGACATTGAAGATGAGGACATGGAGGAACTTCTTAATGATACAAGGCTCTTGAAAAAGTTTAAAAAAGGCAAAATCACTGAAGAAGAATTTGAGAAGGGATTGTTAACAAGTGGCAAAAAGTTAGTCAAGGCAGCAGATTCCAGAATCGCAGATTTGTAGGATGACTGCTGATCCCTGGACCTGAGGCGAGACGCACGTGTGTGCCCCGCACGCGGCAGGCGGCTCACGTTGGCCTTCGCTGCACGTCAGAACGTCGGCAGACACGCAGGAAGCGTCTCATCTCTGCAAGCTGTCGTTTCAGACGGGGGAGAGATGAGGGAGGATTCGCACTCTTGACTATTACTAGAAACTTGCCAGCCTCGAGGAGGTCACGCGAGTGTAAATAACAGATGTCGATATTTATTTCACGTGTCATCTACATAAAGAGCTCGTTTTCTGGGGCGAATTTACACTTATTTTTTAACACGCAGATACTGAAGTAGACTCGATTGTAGGCTGTTTAAGGTTCCTTCGTGTTCGCAGGCACCGTACCTCCCTGGGTGTCTGACCCCTGGACTTCAGGTCTCTGATGCACTGAGCACCTGCATAGGGCGGCTAATGCTGCTGGCGTGTTTCTTTCCTTAGAAAAGTCCCTAGTACTGTTTTGGGGCGGGGGGGGGTTAACACGCAGATACTGAAGTAGACTCGATTGTAGGCTGTTTAAGGTTCCTTCGTGTTCGCAGGCACCGTACCTCCCTGGGTGTCTGACCCCTGGACTTCAGGTCTCTGATGCACTGAGCACCTGCATAGGGCGGCTAATGCTGCTGGCGTGTTTCTTTCCTTAGAAAAGTCCCTAGTACTGTTTTGGGGCGGGGGGGGGGGGTGTCTAAAAAACTGAGGAAGTGGGTCATACCCTGGGAAAGAAAATTATTACGCCTCTGTTGAATAAACTGTATTTTCTTCTCACCAGCTGTATCTTAAGTGTGTAAATGTGGCTACAAGGTGCCTTCACCACTGTGGCCAACAGTGGGGCTTGGGGCAGCGCTCAGTCCCAATGTAACACCGTATCAAAGTCTCATGCAATTTATTTGAAAAGATGCTGAATTTGTTCCCAAGTACAATTTTTAAAAGTTGCTCAGGTCCCAAACCTGTTAAAATTCACATCATTTGCAGATGCAGAATTTAATGTAACAAATGTTCTGGAAGGCGTCTTAACTGGCAAGCCATGTGGATACTCCCGCTAACTGCCGCTTCTGCCCTCTTGGGGCTCTGTGGGTGGTTTCCACTCCACTCGGCTTGATGCCAGCCGGGGGATGGTGGCCCCTGGCTCGTGTTCACTGGAAGCCCGAGGCCAAGGGAGTGAGTGTTTTCTGCCTTTCTTACAAGGCGCCACATGTATTGCGTGTCCCGGGCAGCTGCTGGCCAGTGAGGAAGGGGCAGCCGGCTGCAGTCAGGAGCACCTGCTTTTTTAGGCCTGCATCTCTTTGAAGCTTTTGGCAAATTCAGTCTGGAGAGCAGAGAAGATGGAGGGAGGGGACTTAGGCACGTCTTTCATCGGTTAAGTAGCCAATAATCTAACCTGTATTTCTGGAAACAGGAAATGAATGGAAGTGTCTGGAAACCGTCAGCATAATTTGAGTTTTTGAGGAACCATGAACATACTTAAATAGGACGGAAATGAATAAAAATTTCTCCAAGACTTAGGAATTTAAGTCCTTAGTCCATTCATCTTGATTTAGAGAAAGAAATTCAGTCTTGGACTGGCTCACATGGGCCCGAGAGGCTACTCACTCTGCCCGCCTGCCTCGGCTGTCCGTGGCGGGGGCAGGGGCGGGCCGGCGCTTACAGGTACAGCTTGATGAGTTCGTCGCTGACAGCTGAGGGCGTGAGCACGCCCAGGTCTGTGAACAGCAGTGTGATTAAGGACGGGGAGGTGTAGTCGACCCACGGGTGCTCCTCTTTGAGATCCTGTCCAGTGTGCGCAGACTTCAGGGTAGCGGCCTTATACTAGGAGACAGAAAGCAGATGTTAGTCTGCCCCCACATCCGGGGTGCTGCACGGCCAAGGCCTGGGCCTGAGCAGCCGCTGTGCAACCACCTGAAAGTGCCCTCCGGAAACGGGGAGCAGCCAGCTGAGCGGCACACTGGCGAGGAGGGCAGTGTCACCTGGGTGGGCCAGATCGTGGCGGCCTATGGGCCAAGGGCACAGTGTCCCCTCACCAGCGTGCTGGATTCACTCAGAACAGCCTTTGCAGAGGGCTGACGATGTGCCAGGCACTGTGCTAAGCTCTCCATGGATCATCTCAGAATTGTCATGACTGATAATACCATTATCCTGTTGTATAGACAAATGAAGTTCAGCGCTTACAATGAAGACTCGCCCAAGGTCACATGGTCAGTAAGTGGTAGAGATGGGAGCTGAGCCCAGAGAGTTGACTCCAAATCTTGGACTGTTCACCACCAGCCCTCCCCGGCTCCTTAGCCCGTATGAGATTGAAAAACTGAAAATCTGGGTACGAATTAGACTCTGTGAGTCCAACATCCACCACTTTATTTTTGTATCCCCACTGCTGGAGAAAGTAGTGACAGGAAGTGAATAACTAACATTATTAGCGATGCATTTTTCCCAAAGGTTTCAGTTTAGACTCAAATACCCCTTCAAATATTCAAACTCTTGCCTTAAATTTATCTGGGACATCTTGTTGGTTTAGTGGGAAGAGCCGCACAAACTTGAAACTTTCTGCAACCACGTAGAAGGGCTTGTTCTGTGCTTTGGCGCACACAGCCATTTGGTTGGTTCCAATCTGGGAATCAGAAAGGAGAAAAAGATGACATCTTATAGCACATCTGAAGTGGAAGTAACAAAAAGTGTACAGAGGACACAATATATGTAATTCTGGCTTCGGCATTAAAGAGGATCTTTTAAAAAAGAAAACAGACATTTTCCCAATGATATACAAATGGCCAAAAAACACATGAGAAGATGCTCAAGATTCGTAGTCATTAGGGAAATGCAAGTCAAAACCACAATGAGATTCTACTCCACACCTACTGAGATGGCTATAATTAAAAAAAAAAACAAAAAACAAGTGTTGGCAAGGATGTAGATAAACTGGAATCCTCGTACGCTGCTGGTGGGCATGCAAAATGATGCAGCCGCTGTGGAAAAGTCTGGTTGTTTCCCCAAAAGCTAAACATATAATTAGCATACGGGCCAGCAATTCTTTTAGGTATATACCCCAAAGAACTGAAACTAGGAACTCAAATAGGTCATTGCACACCCGTGCTCACTGCAGCATTATTCACAACAGCCAATAAGTAGAAACAACCCCAGTGTCCATCAGTGGATGAATGGAAAAAGCAATGTCCATCCTGACAGTAGGACATTGTGCAGCCACAAAAAGAAATGAAGTACTGCCACATGCTGCTGCACAGGTGAGCTCTGGAAACA